TTCAAAAAGCAAAAAAAAAAACCCCACAACAAAAAAAAAACCCCCAAAAAAAAAACCAGAGAAAAAAAAAAAAAAAAAAAGCAAAAAAAAAAAAAAACAGGAGGAAAGAAAGGAGGAAGGAAGCAGGGAGCTGTGAGACGGAAGGCTCGTATCAGTGAAATCTCAAGACAGCAAGGTGTTGAGTAAAGAGTCAACTGGATGGGTTGGAGCTGTGCCTCCAGTTAGACTCACTGGCCTAATTTGGCCTAAATTTGGCCTAAATCTCCACTCCCTGGAGTGGGAGATCTAAGTACCTGCAGCTTGTGTTGTCTTCAGAGCAGTCAGCACTTTTGCAAACCAGGCCACAGACGTAGTCCTCTCAAATTTTATTTTTTTTTAAATTCCTGATATGTGATCCCTATCTCAATTTGTAAATGGAAATTTGACTTGCATTCCCACGAAAACCAAGTAGATCTTGTGAAGACAACAGGGTTTTCCCTTTGTATTGGGAAAGGAATGTAAAAATACCTTGTGCTTTGTGCTTTAGAGAAATTCACTTCATACAGAGTCGCTGCTGCTGTGCTGTGCTCATGGTGCAAAATGAGATGTTAAATCAAAAGTGTAAGTTATCCTGGTCTATAATTTTTTGAAGATAGAAAATAATCCCTTTTCTGGGTATGTGCCAGTGCTCAAGATATAAAGAAGTTATACAATGGAACATAACAACTATTTGGTGTTTATTTCTTTGAGAATTTTTCAGTTTTGCTTTCAGTCAAGAAAATGGGGATTTATAAGATTATAATGGCTGTGTCATGGATGGTACTAAATGTTAAGCACCTCAGACTGCTTTTCTGTCCTTTGCAGATTCACAGGCGGGTATGGACCTAAGTAATTCTCAGGAACAGCCCATGGCTGCAGGTACTGTGCCCTTCAGCTTATGTACTTTCACCCTCTCTTGAAAATTTTGTATTTAAATGGAGAAAAATATATGTATTGCAGCTTGGTTAGATACCCAGCACATTGACTGGCACAGTCACAAATAAAGATGGACATTAAAGGCAAAAAGTAAGTTCTAGAATCGAAATAAAACTGTGGAAGCTCAATATAATATTGGAAAATGATACTAAAGGAAATAAAAGACTGTGTAGTAGGAAAGGAAACGTTTTCAGAGGCAAGCTGGAAGTTTTGATTAGGGAAGCAAGAATAATGTGATTCTTTTTGTTGGCTGCTTTTCTGAAAATATGAAAACAAACCTCTGGTGTGAGTCAGACAAGTGTTTTACTTTCTTATTAATCAAAAAATAAAACATTTTTTTCAGATCCAGTGTAATATTTAGCTTGGGAAGGATTGGGATTTTTACTGTACAGCTGTTAATAAGTTAAACAATTTTAACAGCAATTCCACAGGGTTACTGAACTTCAGAAATTCACAGGATTGTTGAAAGAAAACACTGTCAGTTTCTTAAACAAAATACTGATCTGAAACATACAGAAATATATGTAATATTGAGTTCGTCTGGAGCATGGATTTTATGAAAGAGGCTTTATTTGAAAAACTTCTCCCTCATATATTTCACTAGAGTTAAAAACTTTGGCTTTATTTCAGAGAAGAGGGGCTGGGATGTCTGGGCCGTGCTGCTGCCACAGCGAATACTTTCTGATAATGTTGATGTTCCAAAAAGACGTGCGTGAAACAAGCAGAGAAGTGCAACTGGGTTCAAAGAGGTTTCTGATGGAACGTGCCTGTGCAGTTTCCTGGCCTGGGGCCAGAATGATTAATATTTTGCCCAAATGAACAAAGTAGAGCTGTGATTCCTCTTCCATGCTCTGAAGAGCTTGCCTGCTTACCTGCTGGCAGCAGTTGTCGGAATACATGTGATATAGAGAGTTATATATGCTGGATTTTATTCCTGTTTTGTTGTCATTTAGAACAACCTAAAGAATAGTTAAATCTGAGCAAAAGCTTGAGATTTAGTTAAAAGTCCGCACTGTGAGAGTTTGAAAAGGACTTTGGGAAGCAAATCTGTTCAACCAAATTGCAGCTAATCATCTATAGGGAGAACATTGTGAGCAATATTGAGAGTTTGCAGATATTTTGAGGGAATCACCTGGAAATATTCTTCAAGCATAAATAGTTAATTATTGATTTGTTGTTTGGGTTTGTTTCTTCTTTTCAGAAGGACAGGAGGCTTTGACAGACTGTAATCTGAACAAATCCCAGGAGATGGAAAGTATGGATAATGGGGAAGATATGAAGGAACACAATCAGTCTAATGAAGAAGCAGGAGGTAAAGTGCAGATTGAGATCTGAAAAATAATAGTTATAATTTTGTCTTTTTATTCTTCTGTTAATGCAATGAGAGTGATTAGAAGGTTTATTCTGGATCATGGCTCTGGTTTTCCCACAGAAAAAGTGTGTCAGTAAAAGAAATAACAGTACAATTAGTTGAGAGCATTTCAACGTGCTTTAAAGGAGGAGTAAGTGTTTTCCATCAGGGAACCTCATGTGCATTTTATAAAGGTCACTTTTACAGGATCTCTGAAATATGGATAGCAAGAGAAAAAAGCACGTGCATATGATGAGCTCTTTTAATGTGTGTTTGTCTTGTAGCATACAAATTCTTAAAAGTAGTCTGCATATGAAGAATGTGTGTGTTAGGACTGCACTTTTTATTGATGTTGTTCACCTATTCTGATATCTGAAAAATAACTTGGGAATTATTTACTTTTTTTAAAGAAAGGACAAATTACCTCGAATTCATAGGACAGCTCAGCCCTGTAGAATTTAAAACTGTAGCAGTAATCCTGTATTTTAAACTGTGAGTGAACAGAAGATTGGTCAGTTTACAATGTTTAAATTGAATAGTAAATGCTTCCTATACAGCTCTGAAAGACAACACAGGTATGAATAAAATATTAATACAAGGTATACTTTTTTTTGTTTAAAAGTTCCTACGTAAATGCATATTTCCTTATCTTAAAAAAACCCAAACTACTAGGTCATCTTCACTAAATAGATAAAAGTTAAAAGCAGCAGCTCCTGGACTCAGCAGTTGTGCAGGCCCTCAGATTTCAGGATTTGTGTGTGTCTATGACATAGATGCAGAGCAAGAGACTTTGAGTTTCCTCCTTGGTGCCGAAGCTCATAAACTGAAATCACAGCATTAATAAACATTCCTGCCAGTGAGCTGAGCGTGTTCATTTATGCCAGTTCTCAACCACAAACAGTGAAAAATGCTGCCTGGTAAAGGATGTGGTATACGTGTACTGGGGAAAAGACATACAGTATTTTACCAGTTTCAGGTTGCCTTTCAAGTACTGCATGTCCATGGCAGTTCAGCAGTGTCAAGACAAATGATGTCTGTGGCTTTGGTTAGTAGTTTTGAGGTAGCGTTTACGTATCACATGAATCAAGCAGATCACCAAAGAACTGCCTCTGGTTTGGTTGCCCAAGTAGCCTCGGTTGTTCCCTGTAACATGAACATAATTGCTTTATTTTGAACTAAAATGAAATGTTCAGAGATTAAACTTTTGCATTATTAAAGATTAAACCTTTTCTATTTATTAGCAAGAACAACATAAAACACCCAAGGGAGTGCTGCACTAGCAAAAGTCTGAGGCGGGTGAAATTAATCTCATTTAGGTGTCTCCAGCACTGGTGTCTAGAGCTGCAGTGGTACCTGGCCTTTCTTGACAGTTGATGGAGAATGAGAACACAGATTTTCTGACCAAATTTGAGTGTCTGATTTAGGATGAGATGCCTCGTGTCCCCAGAGTAGCAGCTTCTCAGCAGAACTCTTTATAGTTGGCAGAGAGTAGCTTAGTACAGATACCTGCTGTGTAGCAGGTAGCTTGGGCAGGTGAGTTCTGCTCTGCTTACCCTAAAAAGAGAAGTTTGATCTTTTTATTCACAGAACATGCAAGGCTGGAGCCTTTTCTACATCCAAGACATCTGATCTCTCTTGTAGATCCCAGAGTACTTAAAATACTCACAGCTGTATTCCAGCTCTTTATCCATCCCTTACGCCATTTCCACTTGTGCCAGCTCACTCCTACCTCTGCTTTCCTGGTGGCCATGCCCTCTGCTCCTCCTCGTCACTGAGCTGTGGGTACAGGAAGCCAGGGCAGGGTTTCTTTCATGAACCCCTTGATATTGACCATACAGGAGGAATTGCTCTAACTCCTCCCCACCAGAAGCCCTGTCTATTCCACTGGCACACGCAGCGTCGTGGCATCAAGCGAGTCTTTTTTCCATTCCTTGACTGTGCCCTTCAGCTTCAGTACCATTTCTCAGGCTCTTTTCCATACATTTATGTCAGGTACAACTTAAACACTTGTGAGAGAATATTTATATTGATACTCTTATATGCCATGAATTTTTTATATTGTTGCTGATCTCCTAAAGTCTCTTTACAATTTGTTCAGGAATGCAAATACTGAAAATTCACATCTCAAAGATAAGGCTATAACTATCAATAAAACGCCAGGTCTTTAATAGACTCCATTACAGTTAGAGCATTTGCTCATCATAAAGTGAGTATGAACCTACTCAGTACCACCGAGCTCTATTTGGCTCTTGCTAGAGGAATAAAGAGGTGATTGGTAGGAGAAAGCTGTTTGAAATGCACAAAAAAGATAGCGACAGTATCTCCGTGTAAAATGGCACCAAATGAAATATATATATTGTGTTTACTTCACCGCTTCACATAAAGTTCTCTACAGTCATTCTGATACCGGAAGCATAATAAGTCTTAAATATTTAATCACGCTGCGCTAGAGCTTTAGACTGTGCCTTCATCAGTAGGTGCATTTAAATTTCTTCCTAACAAAGCTAGTTCAGTTGTTGTTGCATACTGAAATTCAGAAATAATTTTAGCTTTCATGTCATGCCTGCTGTATAAATTACAGATCAACAGTAGCGGCGACGTTAGTCACTGAGCAGGCCTTGTGGGTCAGTAACTATCTGTCTGTCTTCTAGATAAATGAAACCACATTCTGACAGTGCTGCCTTGGTGGGAGTATTATCGTTTGGGGATCACTAACCCTGGTAAAAATGAATATATAGTGTTCTCCAGAATCAGAGAATAGAAATATCGCCAGTAGCGGTGATGGCTCTTGAGAAATGGATTATGTCCTGCCAACACCTGAAAAGTCTGTCTATTTAAAAAAAAAAAAAAAGCTGTATTTGGCACTTCCCTAGGTGTGATCACTAATATCCTCATTGCATGTCAATTCTAAAGAGAAATAATGAAAAACGTTTGTGTGGTCCTTATAAATGTCAATGGTGCTATTCGTGATCCACCCCTTTTGTGAGTGAGCGATTCCACTTCAGCATCTTCACAACTCCTTGTTGATGATGGTGCTGTGGTGCACAGAAATCATGCCTGGTTGTTTTTTTTTTTTTTAATCCTGAAGCCCTGCCTGATCCATGCCCACGGGGTTTCTTCCATCTGCTGAAGGCCATCATAAGAACATGAGGCCACTGACTCATCGAGTGAGATGAAGCCTTTGATACCCTGCTTTCCACTGCCTTAGTGTGTCTGTAGCGTGTTTTTCTTCAGTACAATTGTGTCTGGTTTTTCCATGTTTCGTCAAGCATTGATAGTAAGTAGTGATCTTCCTACAGTGACTTGGACTGTATGTTTTTGTGACTCTTGGTGATGAATGGGTGACACTCTAAATACACCATGGGGACTTATCACGAGACTTTGAGCAGTAGTTGGAGCCTGGTCATATCTAGACATTGTCCAACTCTAGTTTGGAGCCATTTATACTCAATCTGCAGAAAGTGGTACCATGACCCTTTCAAAGGGCTGCAGAAACTTCATAAAGGCACTAAAGAAACTAGCATATAGGGCTGAAACGCCATCACAGCTGGCCCTCTTTTTGGTATTAAAAAAAAAATCCACTTTTTCAGCAAACAATTCCATATTTATCCTTCTCTGAACAAAGCCAACGCGCTGGTGGACGTGTTGGTCCCTCTGTCTGTGTCGTAACCAACAGAGGTGAGATCCCACTCCATGAAAAGGATCCATGTCCTATTATAGACCCCTTTTAAAGGGGTTTCAACTATGACGATTGCTCAGTGTAGGACAAACAACCAGGCAGAAGGCGAGAGTAATATGTTCATTAAAAGCTTGATGGAGAACAAGAGAGGAAAAAAAATTAAAAAGAAAGAAAAAAGCCCCTTTTTTTTTTTTTTTGCCTCAAGGGAATGGAGACTGCATGCTGTGGTGCACATGGTGTACGCTTGCCTGCAACCATAAAAATACGCCGTTCCCATGGTGCTTCCTGTATCTCATCTAAAAAGAGACGAGCAATGAGGCAGACAGGGGAGGAGGCACTTAATTTCCCTCCTTTCTTTATGCCCCCCCCCAACACTGTTACTTTTGGTGGCCAAAGTTGAAGCGTCCTTAATGTAAAAATTAAATAAATAAATTTGAAAAAAAAGCCGCGTTCTTTCCTAAGGGAGTCACAGCCAAGCGCAAGCGTTTAATTATGCCTTAATTCCCCTCATCTGTTGAGGCAGACAACTTTTTTGGGTGTTATGAATGTTAGCGAGCTTTCATGGTTGCGAAATAAAAAGAAATAGAAGCCACATTTGCGGTTTATGGATGCTAATTGCTGCTGCGTTGAGGTGTGTGAAAGGGGGCGGTTAAAAGGCTGGAGTGAGACAGGAGAGGATGACAAACCCTCGCCTCGGCGCGCCCTGAGGTTCCAGGGGTGCTGCTCGCAACACGCACTTATCTGCTCGAAAAGGAAGTGCCGTTTTTTATCAGAATATTACATCTCCCAAGCCCAGATCGAGCCCTGCCGCTCATGGGACTTCTGGGGGTTATCTCACAACATCAGCAGCGCCGGCGCTGCACAGCTTCACTTCACGGGGGATTTCTGTAAATGTTCAAACCAGGCAAAGGAGTCTGTGGGGCTTAACTGTGTCAGGTCTCTTTGCTTGGGTGGCTCCGCATGAACCGAAAGTCGCATCTTGAGTGTTATCAACAAAAAAGATCCTCTTGACTGTGTTTTTTGGTTTTTTTTTTTTGTGCCGGGGCGCTGTAGTGTCAGCGGCAGGAATGCTGCCAAGCACGTTCGGTGACATCAACAGCAGCCAGTTGTGTCACCTCAGCCTGTAAATGATTGACATCACCTTGGACTATCCTGCAGGGTGGGTAGCCCAGGGCTGACACCCAAACTTGGGTATTCCGATTGCACTTTTCTGATTAGTGCAGCTAATTCTTACTCTAATTAACCCATTATAGTTAGCAGAAAACAGAACTTGCTTTGGAGA